CGATCGAAGAAGGGATACATTGATATCAGCGACTTTAGCAAAGCGACATGTTGGTTGCATATTGCTGACCATGGATTCGGATGTGAATATCGCGCATGCGACTGCGACACCTAACAAAATGCACCTGAATCTTACATTGACGGGTAGTACTGAACAGGATAATTGTCTTATGCACTTATACTGAGTGCACCGTGAATAGACGGTTCTATCGGATCTGTCTACAGAAAACCAACCTGGACCGGTGAGTATTTGCATTTGAAGCGTTTCTCGCTGATACCAACTAATCATTGTCTTGTCCGCACACTGTTCTGCCGGGCCCGTATGATCTGCTCCCCAGGGGTATAAAGAGATCTGCTGTTCGCTACGCTACAATCCAACAGTTATCCGTTACCGTTTATCAAGCGTCGCAGTGATATAAACAATTGAGATCGGAGTCAATTTTGATTGATCTACCTTTCAAAGACGTACGCTTCTGTGACTTTGTCGATAACCATGTAGCTATTGGCATACCTACCGTGGCCCTAAAGGAACTGATGCTTCAGTGTACTTTCAACATCCAGTTTCTGTTTAACGGTGAATTATACCGACAGCACGATGGAGTTGCTATGGGCTTTCCACCTGGACCGTTTCTCGCTGACCTATTCATGGGTATACTTGAACGGGGTAAGCTGAAATCGGTCATCACGAACCTAAGTCTTTACCGCCGTTTCGTCGACGATACACATAGTAGTCACCACGACTTGAATATGCTGCAGAACTTCGGATGCACACGTCGATAAGTCCTTTATTTATGTGTTCCATTAAGACCGACGACGAGGCAGTGCATGCCCCACGCTCTATACAGTTTCGCGTGTAGCTGTGGAGACGGCTACATTTTGCGCACTGATCGAATTTTAGGTGTCAGAATCAATGAATACCTCCCCATTTGGAAATGGGATCGGAGATGACGGAATCCTTTAAATCGGGAAACCTGGCTGCCTCAGTAGTCACAGGGCACTTGCTGACCTGCGGCCACCGAGTTGATCCTGACAAGTCATTCACCGTCCTAATGCGCAATCAGCGGATCCACACTTTTAGACTACTGAGGCCATAGTTATCGGTCAAGAACGCCCACTACGCGTTCGAAAACGGTTGATTGTGGCTTGAAGTCTAAGCAGCACAAGCTCCTGCGATATACCGATCTTATACTACAATATTCCGAATCACCAATCATTGTTGCGCATTTGCGATCGATAAAAATGCGCGAATGGCGACGTCACTAACATGTGTTGATTTTCCCATGTACTCATTTAACTTGAAGATATAGGCTCCAAACTGAGTGAGTACGATGTGTTATGTGACATTATGTTCATACGGTAGCTCCTGCCACATCTACGTCTTAGGAAATCTACTATACGTGATGTGAAGTAGTGTGTTCGTCGGACCGTCAGAGTACCCGATCTCGGTGAACTTGTGCATCGATTAACTTTTGCGATCGTCATGGCTGGTTTATTCGATTGGCCCGTCTCGGATGGTCTGCGGACGATGCAGTCATTGGTACTATAGACGGGTGAATGATTTTATGTTCTATAAATAATTCATTGGAATGGTGATTCCGTGTTGCATTAAAGTGTGATCTGATCATTCTGTACGTTGTTATGTATGTCGAAGTTTTGCAGTAAGTGGAAAATCCGTACTTTAGCTGAAACCAGCACGGATAGAGATCAAGTTTGGACTTTGATTTCGTTCGTTGTTTTACAGCTTGGTCAACACAGTTCTGGAAGTCGCGCGTGCACCGCCCGACTCTCTCTCTCTCTCTCGAGTGAATACCGCCAGTCCCCTTCTTTCTTTAATCCATACCTCCCTATTTCCCACGTGTACTCATCAGTAGCGCGTCTTTGATTATTTCCCTGATTTTCATGATTCACCTAAACCACTAAGCAAACCAAAGGCTTGATTCCGCCCTGGATTTCTCAGCATTCGCATTCTACGCGTCACTAACTATCACTGTGCGTTCCTTCCAAATTGGTCTGTACTGTCTCCTAAGTAGTCACTAATGAGGGGTGAATATCCAGCTGTAGCACACAGTCACAGACGGAGATAAGTAATGAATTGGAATACTACATTAGTAAGGTATAAAACAACCGCTCTCATGGAGGTAATCTACCAGCCATCACAACATTGATTAATCTTTGATCACTCACGAAACATGTTAAGTAAGAAACATCTGACGCACCATAGGTCCTTGTGCGGGCATATATGATTTGCACATCTGACCAACGTCAGTATCTGTTTCGCGACCCTGACCGGCAGTTGTCGCCCCGTCGTGACCATGTAACGGCAAGGCCTACAACGCGGCCGATATAGACAACGCTGTGCAGGCAGCTGTGGTTAAAAATGATTGGTTTCCTAAGGATTTACCTGGTAACTTACATTTGTGGCTTCCGTCCATCTTTTGAGAAAATACTGAAGAATTTTATTCCTTAATACCTTTACCGTACCTCTCTGTACTTTGTGAGCATCCGTGGTTGCGCTATCTTATCTCATTCTTCTCATCAATTTTGGAATCTATTACGTCTCTTCCACTACTTTGTTCGCGACGACTTTGGTGTGTGCTCGACTGACAACATTAGAGTACGCGGACGTTAGCTCTTTTAAGGTCGGATAAAGCTGCTGCACCTTTGCCTATGGAAAGGCATACAAAACGCTACACACTTAAGTTGTGCTTCACACAGACTACCACTGTATGCTTGGGTTGATCGCCACTAGTTCTTGGTATCACTGACCGTTGGTCGGCTCTGAAGCTCACGTCGATAGGGGGCTGCTACCTGAATCGGTAAGGCCTGTGTAGTTTTACGAAATCTTATTTATTTAATTAGTGTGATGTGTTTGATTATTTATCAGCAGTGTGGTGTTGATAGTGGTATTGTGTGTTTCAGAGCTATGGTCCCTCCGTGCTGAAAATATTCGATAACTGATCGTCTTTCCGGCTACGTGGTATTATTTTCATCCGGTGGGTTCACCGAGTGAGGTTCGCAGTCAGATTCTGTCATCCAATATACTGGCGCCATGTCTTTCTTACTGCACTACTCATTCTGGTCAAGTCATGCTTCACAAACGCCTCCTGGACAACTTGTTCGATGTATTATTTTACTAATATTGCAGCCAGGTAGTCGAACTTACAGGCAGCCATCAATGGTGTCTTAATGACAAGAAGAAATCGATACAATGGCTGATCCTATGTGGTGTGCGTTGCTTTTCTTGATGATGATCTCGAGTTCGCCATGCTGCCGTCACAATAACAAAGGTGCTTTCCCGTCCGGCTTCTTGCTGCGAACTGTTAACAGTTCCCTCCGAAAAATTTCCGCAGCATTCCACTTCTTTTGGGGCAGCGGTTCTGTTTGATTGCCGAAATTCGAACATGTAGTTGGCGGACGACATAGCTCTCTTTGGATGGGACCCAGTTGGTGCGCAAACTTTACTATATTGGTTGACGCATAGCAATATGCGTTTCGACATATGCTTTGCATGTCTAGAGCGCAGAGTACTACTATCATTCTTAACTATCACTGAGCAACAGATTTAAATGACCGAGCGATTTACATATCACTTTCGGTGGTGTTATCACCACCAAAGCTACCGCGCGGTTTTTCATAGCCTCAACCACTTATGTAGATGACAGAATACTGGTTCATTTATTAATGGAAGGGTTTACAGCACCGCGGTGCACCCGCGCTACTGCTCGCATAAGGTATTAAAAGATACAGTATTCGACCATCTGTGCTTATACGGTGTTGCTCACGCATGATGGAAGAGCCGAGTGAGTAAGGCTGAGGTTCGTTATTCGATGTTTGACAACAGGGGCTCTTGTGTGCATGTTGGGCTCGATTCGTCCCTGGTGGCTTGATCACGTACTCCGTATGACTTCGAACCGCTTGCTTTAGCTTGTATTTTTACAAACGCTGTGTCCCGTTGAGTCGTGCACTGGGGTGATAAACCGATGATATGACAAGGCAGGATGGATGAATTCATCGAAACACTCAGTAAGATCGATATTGGTTGCCTTCACGGTTGGGATCTTCGAGCTCGGCTGCATCATTGGTTAGATACTCTGTCGGATGTGGTCCGGTCACAAAGTCTGTGGCGGGGCCTTTAAATCGACTATTGCCATTTTTGTCGAACATCATTTTTACATTGTCTACTGTAGATGTCTCAGATTCGCAGCAATAAACAGACAAATATTTTGTTCAACATTTTTCCAAGGTTACTGAGACCAATCTACTTGTGAATACAAAGCTAGGATATCACGTACGATCTCCGGTTATTTTGTACACAACCTTACGTCAACTGAAGCGAGTTATGAGGAGAGATTTTGATACAACTACTATTCTGATTGAATGCGAATTCCGAAGATACAATTTAGCATCATGCGATCGTAGCCATTTGAAGCATACTCATTTACTCGAATGATGTCAATGCACGCTTCTCATTTTGTGTACCTATCTGTAAACGTTTGTATTTTTGATGACGCCAATTTAGTAAATTTATAGTTTATAATGTGAAATGCTGAAAACGCCCCCATTTGTGAACATAAAGATTATGGTGACTAGACTTGCTATTCCCCTATTTCTGTTCATTGACTACCCCACCCGTCGATCTCGTTTCATACTTATTGCTGACGACTTACTTCTATTATTATTATTATTATTACTCTGACAACGCAAGTCACAGCAACTATATCCACAGCACCCCGATTCTTGATAGATCGATTGAGATTTTCTTCATTCTACTCCGTTTGCATTTTTCTTTCTCTTCATTTTCTATTAACTGCTTTACCAGCGCAGTTAACTTGCCGAACCCGGTGAGAAACTTATCACCCAGACGACCAACTCAGCTTACCAATAATCGACTTGCCTTTCTTCAGCTTACGCTGTTCGCTTTTAAATTGCGTGCCACATGAAACGTTTCTGGCATTCTAAACGGCTTGCTACTTGCATCTACATGTCCTTACATTCGTTTCAGGTGTGAAATGAAGGACTGTGAAATTTGGCGGTTGTACCACTAATATCTGCTACACACTTTCGAGACTCCCGAAATGGGTTTTAGGCTATCCTTGAGGTTCTGTACTTTCTCCAGCTTCGTATGTACCTTGTAAGTGTTTGACTTCACGTTTTACTCACCCGGAATGTCTAGAATCACATTGATATTCCTGTCACAGGCGGAATTGCTGGACAAGCGCATCTTCTCCATCTTTCATCGCGGTGAGCCACTTGCTGTTTTTACCGAGCCGTACTTTATTTGACCTTCCAGATTCGGATTCTGGATCTGCCACTTGCAATGGACAGGTTAGTCTGAGTCTATCTATTTTAACCCTGTACATTGTGAGTGACTTTCAAATCTATTCCTTCCACTTCGATACGCACCAGAGTGTTTGGAATTCTTTCGTTCGTTCCTTATAGCATTGTCTTAATATGTGCGGAGACAAGCACTCTGTAGTCTCTGCTCCGAGTACGTTGACGTATTTTTCCTGCATTTTCCGCCGATAATATGAATCATTCGCGTCCTCACTAGTACATCGGAACATTTACCCTAACAGCACCTACTTATGTCGTACAAAAAGTCGTGAATGGCGGTGCTAATCCTGCTCTCTGCAACGTTCGCAATTTGCATGACAACGAAACGAGTCACGATATACCGCAATTAGCTCGCTGTCATGACGATACAGCGCCGTATCCTGTTGTCCAGTGACATAAGCTTCTGTCTAGTGGCGAAAGCCACTGGAGCCAATGGCTCGAATATCAAGTCCCTCAAGCGAATTTCCATGTATCCCACTGCTTTGTCGGTCAGACTGTCCAGTCTAAGCCTAAGGGTAGAGCACCTCGAACAAAGCCCCTATCTCGGAATGAGCAGTCGGAGAGTATCATCTGCCCTCGACTTCTTTGACAATACTCTCTCTTTCTTGTTTTCCTCTCTCCTCTCAACCATCTTCCCTGCCACTGACCTCACAGCTGCTGTCATCGATACGTGTAGCTCTTCCATCAAACCCAGAGTCTCATTTCTCATTGTTTCCTGGAACGTTCGCACTCCGGGGCAGATCGGTGAACAGGTAGCACTAACTCCCACTCTTCGCTCTCCTGGTATTGATGTGTGCTGTCTCCGAAACACTCAGACAAGTTAACAGCGTTGTGATGAATCTTCAACTCCCTGGTTCTGAATCTGAAGACAGACAGAAACAAGTCTACTGCGACATTATTACTTCCATATTCACCTGAACTCACGCGGGATATTAGTGTCACACATCCCCACTTTTGAAGAGATTCGACATGAGCTCGCCGTGTTGAAACGAAAAAAGGCTCCCGGACCTGATGACTTTCCTGCTGAAACATGGAGATAATTCTTTATTGACTGAACTTCCTGCTTTGTTTAACACTATTTTGGACAATAAATAGGTGCCTTCAGACTGTCAACTCTCGTGCCCATCTTCAGGAAGGGTCAGTGGACTTTATGCGAAAATCACATTTGCCTTATTTCCATTTTTTCATAACCTCTCACGGGTAGCCTTCCTCGATGACTTACTGTTCTCGGTCAGAGCCAAATCACTGAAAGCCAGGCTGGTTTCTGCCATGGTCATGGTGGCATCGGTCACATAGTTACTTTTCATCAAGTGTTAGAACAGAGATACACTTACGAGCTGCCGACTATGATGGTTTTCCTTGAGCTGTTGATCGCGCTAGCTTGTGATGGTACCTATCCGTGGAGGGCGTGGCAGGAAATCTCCTTTCATTCTGAGGTCTCCATACTGGGACCAGGTTAGGTTCACGGGAAGTTATCTTTGGAATTCCCCTACTACAAGTGGATTAGCCAGAGTTGTCCTTCATATCTGACTGGAATGTGCAGCATCCGTCCATCTTCTGGGCCTGATATCAGGAGGTAAATGAAGCGGTGTGCCCGTCATGTGAATTTGTCTCCGATGTAACATCTTCCTTTGTACTTGCTTGAGTGCGTATCCTGCGTCTCTTAACGCGATAGGCCCTCTTCACATTTCTGACGGCGAAACTAACACAAGGATTTCTTCTGGCTAGCGTATATCATTCTGTTTACTCGAGTAGGATCTCGTGATAGGCAACATCAGTCATCCGATATACAGCCAGTTGTGTCATTGCGTATGTTCCCTTGTTTCTTAAGGTTGATCGTTTCTGCCGATGGTCACGTTGCCTTCCTAATCAGTCTTCTTATGTGTGTAAGTCTAGTAACGTTCTCTCGTTTTCTGTTAACTTCCCCTTCCTCATCCTAGTGGCGCGACTCATTGCAGCCGGATTCACCACATTCCGGTACCCGGGTCATAACTGATTAACTGTAGTGAAATGTAAACCGTTAAAACGATCGAGCGTTTCAGGTATCTGCCTCATCTAACCGAGGGTTCATTAAAGCTTCTAAGTCACAACGGTGATTCGTGCTTTGGTGAAGTTGAGCATGCAGAATTTAAGGGATCTACTTCTGATTGATCTGATGATCTCAGCTTCGAAATTTCGTGGACTCATTTGCTTTATTCGGTTTGTCATAACAATAGCTAAGGCCTGCGAAGAATTCCGCGAAAAACAACTACATGAAATGTCCGATAGGTGGACATCTACTCAGAATCAAGGGTAAAATTTAGCAGGCGGTAAATTTTAGCTTCTTATGCCTCTTCGCTGTAAAAGTCGGCACACTATTTCGATGCGTTTGTTTGGATAAGCTACCATTAACACTGAGCAGTTGCAACTGACAACTATACTATATGTGCCCGTTATTCCTGTCCTCCCCAGAAAAGCAACGTCAGCTGCCCTATGAGCGAACTTCCCTCACAATTCGCAGCCTACCGCCGTTTCCTGATGTTCCAATGTGTGCTAGTCCTCATCGGATTATTGGCGTTCACCATCGTAAGGGAACGACAAAACCTCTTGGACAAAAAATTAACACAGAAAGTCAACCGCCAAATTGCAGCCGGTGTATAACATCTAAGTCTGTACAGTGACCCTATGTGCTGAGGATGTTACGATGACGATGGTTCCACTGCAACAGCATCGGCCATTCTATCTGATGTGTCCTCTCAACTATCCGATGCCTTTCCTTTGAGTGCTCATATAATTCACCTAAGAAACTTGCTGTGATGCTTTTGTAACCGTTATGTATCACTCTATTTAATGCTAATTAAATACAGCTGCTTAAGGCTATTTTTCATTATTTCCACCAACTCGCATGGAAACAAGTTATTCATGTCGGTGTTTTCAAATCTTGTCAACATGCATCATCATCTTCAATAACGAAGTACAGTAGAGTAGTACGCTGTGTTGATTATTTACTGGCATAAAGAACCTATATGTCAAAATATAGGAGGAAATGGACCCGGCGTAAGTCCAAGAATACCGTACGAAAACGCTCAGGACCAATCTGAGTACACTTTGTCAGATTGGTCACAAACGGATCGGCATGGTGCCATGATAAAGCGGCATCAGCGGGACAACTTGTGGCTCACACTTTTCACATAGTGGCCATCACTTATCCCACCTCCTGGTCACCCACACACAGGCAGGAAAGGTGTCACTAGTGCAGTCTACGAGATGGTAACATAGACAACAGCCCAGAGGGTGTGGACAACAAGGAACATGAACGCTATTATGAGTGCAAATGTTTCCAAGTATCAAGCTATGATCAAATTAGACGCACGTGTTCCAACCGAATGACACCACTTTAGACTTATGAATCCATGGATTGCAAACTACCGGAGAACATCATCGTCGTCATCAACGGATTTCGACTCCCGTTATCGAAGATGTTTTACAGCGCTGCTACATTCCACTTTATTTCTGGCAGTGCGCATAAGTAAAGAGAGGTGTAGATTGAGTAGGGTATCACATATCCGTAAGTTTATCAAAAGGTGGGTGCTTTGGAGTCCCAACTCTGGGTCTAGCCTAAGACCTGTTAAGACTCCTGAATTGCATGGTCGATCTGAGTTCGCAAAAGGTGAGCGGTGGGCACTAGTGATAGTTTTAGAGACCCACGATAAATCCTGGTGAGTTTGGAACAAGCGACTTTACTTCACTGGTTCCCGATTTTCACCATCTAAAGCCGGAATTATGTGTCCAAAAACGATTTATACGGCCGATATTACTACCTTGGCCAACGGACACCGTTACTTAGTTATTTGGCTGTCATCTTACCTACTTAATTACCTTGTACTAATGAGCCTTGTGTACACATGTTTATTTAGTTTACTTGGTCTACCAGCTCTATCTCTGTCTCAAGTTATCGATTTTGGTCATTCAAACAGTCAAGAAGTCAATCCCAGCCCCAGTTGACGCTATCTCCACAATCACTGTTATGTAAACGTTTGAGTCTGATGAGATTTACCGAAAAGAATTCTTTACCCTGAAATGATTTCTGATATTGATTCATATTTTCGCTGGCGCCGGAGATAAGGCGGATGTGTGGAGAAGAAGAGCATACCAACAGTACGTCAGTACTTTGTACTGATTGCTTCGCTATCACGCAACTGGAATCGGGCTGAGGGGGGTTGCCACAGCACTCCAACTCAACAGCGGACTCGAACTTGGGGGTGCAAGGTTTACGAGTTAAACGCCTGAACCGCTGCACAACGGATTCCCGAAGGGTGTGCATGAGCTGGACAAACCACGCTCGGAAGGGAGATCAAAACGCACCATAACTATTTGGCAAACATGTATGTATCCGTGGCGAAAGCACTACAACAAAAAAGAGCCAGGTAGTTTATGTACAGGCAGCCGGAGTGCGAAATATGTTTGTTCAAATCCAGCATAGATCAGAATTTCGACCAAGGATAAGTAGACCAATTGGCTTCGAATCGAGTTTGATTGGGGGCCTTCAGCGTACCATCCGGATTTCGTTGTTTGCGGATTGCATGGAACATTGCGTTGTCCAAGCGCCAAAGACGGCTATATCTGTACTCTGACCCGTCTTGATTGAGTTTGTAGCGGTAATGCGAGGTGAAAAACTCGTCGAACAGCTGAAACCTATCCCACTGGCGGTTATGATATTTTCTAAGATATGCGCGAGTCAGGTAGCCCTTGTCATCAGTGGAGTGCTGGAAGATCTGGCGAAAATAAATGTGATAAGTAAGCATTTGGGATCATCATAAATAGACTAGGAAAGCTACTTCATTATGGCACACAGAGCCAGAGGGCCAGGAAGCATTTATGCTGAAAGTGACTTGATCATCGATTACGGATAACGGGAACAGGCAATCGTAAACAAAGATATACGTGTGGCCCAGAGCGCACGTCGCAGTATCGGATGTGAGTTAAACTTGAGCTGTTTATTAATGATCATGCGTTGCCGCCACCCAACCGCACGCGGTGGAACATTACTTCCGATATTGCTAGTGCTTAGAATAGGTAGCAAGAGCAGGGATTGGAACGCGGGACACCTGAACCACGACGTAATTAAATTCCCTGTCACCTGTGTTAATTGACGAAGGGGTCCTAGTTATTGTACCAAATGGACTTGGTCATCATCATCAACACACATTATCTGGAGGTGCGAAAAACAGTCGTAAGACAAGTGATAAGATACATGAGGAAACGAGATACTAAAAACTACAGAAAACAAACTTAAAAAGCAAGTTATATAATGCCGTTTTTTATTACCCATGCAGTGTGAGGTCGTTGTTGAAGGGCAGATGAACGGGAAGTTGAGGGGCAAAAACGCCACTGAGGTCGGCTCATCGCCATGTCCATTAGTGTATCCAACCAAACGTGTTCATCGTCCTTGGGACCGACGCCAACTTCGAAGTGGGAGTTTTCATTCCTCATGACTGAGTCATCGCTTGACCTCCCCCCCCTCTTCCACTCAGGCCAGGTAAACAACACACGTCGCGTGAGTCGGTGTGCTGACATAGTCCAGTGTTCGGAGCCCGATGCGTGATACAACGGTACTGAGTCGTTCACTCGTTCTTCTTGTACCAAATAAGTGACGACGAATACGCTCACTCCTCAAATGGTGTTCCCACCAGATATAAGTCAAACTGCGAAAACATCTATGGCTGAACATAACAAGCCTCTTTAGGTCTGTCGATCTGATAGCCCTGGTTTTGCAACCGTACAGGTGGGCTGAACGCACAGTAGCGTTAGAAACTCTGTCTTCAGGATGAGAGTGTCGCGTCGACGCCACAGTTGGCGGAGAGTGACAAAAACACCTCGGGTTTTTGCTATACGGTTTGCGATATGTTTGATCCCACAGGCGTTAATATAGCTGCGGAGATAGCTGAATTTCTGGACGACTTCTAGTTGATCACCACCAAGGGTCAGCGCAGGGATGGGTCACTACCAATTTTGGAGGACTTTGCAGAGCGTGAAACGACTAACGACCAGAGCTAATTTATCCAATGCAACGTGGAACGTTCGGGAGCTGTCACAGGTGAGCGCGATGTCGTCGGCATACTCCAAATCAATAAGTCGGCCATCTGGGAGCAGCTCCACATCGTGCCCGGAGAACGCCGTTTCCAGAACTTCATCAATGGCGGAGTTAAAGAGCAAAGGTGACAGCTGGCATATACAGCTGGAGGTATTACATGGCAGCGACAGTTGGTGATAAGCCTTCGCTCTACCCGAACTATGCGCGTACGGCGCTCCGACAATATTTACGTATTTTTCGGGCACATCTTTCCTGAACAGGCAGTCCCAAAGAGCGCATCGATCAATTGAATCGAAAGCACTGCTGATATCGAGAAACACAAATACGGTAGGTCGCCAATAAATACGGCGGGGTCCCAACAATTAGCGTATGGTGAAGATGTGGTCAATACAGCCTCGACGTCGACGAAATCCGGTTTCCTCCTTGAGTGTCTGACTTTCGTGGATGCCAGCCAGCCTGCAAAGCACTATAGAGGCAACTAAGAAGCAATTGAGACCAGACTAATCCCTCTGTGACTCGCAATCGGAACCTGAGCCTTGACAACTGGGGCTATAATGGAGTGGCTCCAGTCTGCTCCCACAACTGTTATGCAATTCATCTACCAAAGCAGATCCACCGTAGTTGAAGAGCTGGAGGTGATCTATTTTCTCCTACGGCATTGTGCGCTTTCAACAGTCTGATCTGGCGTTCGACTTCCGCGCGTGAGAGCGGATCTAAGAGGACGGTCTATATTTATTTATTCACAAGTCTGAGAAAAGATAAATGTCATCATAACCATGGCCGTAATGGTATGAAAAAATGATATTCGAAAAAACAAAGGAAAATGGCATTTTTCTCTTTGTTTTCATAGTATTTCACGCGGGGGGTATTGGGATCTTTTGTTTATAATTGAAATTTGGATGAAAGGAAAATATTAGAACAGCATTAGCGCCACTGATTTCAGTTACGAGCGATAGCCTCCAAAAATTCCGACCATTTATAGTCCCCATCACGTGGTCCTCAACCTGGAAGACGGAGAGATCACGATCAAGCCAAACATGCGCTGACATTCTTGATGTTCCTCTTCAACGTTATCGGTTGTCCACCCCGACATTTTCACTCCTCACGCCAAGAAATTGCAAATAATGCTCCGCGAGGAAGTCGATTAGTTGGTATGCGCAAGACGTGACCAAGCGAACGTAAACGATGTTCGAGAATGATACCCTGGAGACGGGGTTATTCGCAATGAGGCTGGACCTTATCGTGGTAGGATGGTTTGCGTGCTTCAGAGATCCACCGAGCTATGCTGGGTGGTGCTTTTGCACCTTCAGTGCCACTCATACCAGAGTGGTCAATGGTTAGAGTCCAGACAAACTCAACCTCTTGGTCCTCCAGGTTGGAGTGAGGTGGTTACTTATTCTTTAAAACGGACTCCTTGTAGCCCAGCGCCCAACCCGCTGTCTTGAGGTCAGGTTTTTGAACCAGACTTTGGTTCAGAACTCTAATCGTCCTCCTGTCTAGGCATGGGCAACCTGACAGTATCCTGCCCACGCAATACATTGAATTTCTTTTCAGTTTGTTGATGCTCTGCCCACCGCAGCGGTGACCTATCTGCTGCATCGAGCAGAGTGGATAAGGGTTTGGATGTTACTGCTCAAGCCTTCCCAACTTTTTATTCCTCCTCTTACGCTTTTTCACCCTTATCGTCCCGTTCCAGCTTCACTTTTATCCCCCAGTTTTCGATCCCCCGATTCTTGGCCCTTCCCTACCTTGTTTTGATAGGTTTTTACCTTTTAGTTTCAGCTCACATGTGAACGCGGAGCGTCATTCCTGCTCTGTCGACAAGCTTACGTCCAAACAAGCGGTCAAGCCCAGTTCATCGGCCACCATTTGGAGCCCTCGATCCTACTTCAGATTGGCATGCCTCAATGTACGTACACTGCTAGTGATCGGTCAACAGGCAGCACTTGCCCGAACAGTAGAGATCCTCTCGATCGATATCTGCTGCTTATCGGAGACTCGCTTGCAAGACTCGAGCTCTGTGCTCACTCTGCGATCCCCTTCAGGTGACACCAGCAGCATTTTCTCATTGCGCTTATCCGGTGATGATGCAGCTTCGAGCACCGGCCAAGCCGGTGTTGGTATTGCCCTGAGTCCCTGGGTTGAAACTGCTCTGGTTGATTGGTTCCAATCAGTAACCGGATTTGTGCGGTCCGATTGGCTGGCTCGTTCAAAGCTTCGAAGTCGCGCGGGATTAACAGGTGTCCACCATTCATCATCGCTGCCTATGCACCCACAAACTAGCGATGATTCGGTAAAAGACGAATTCTTCGCCAACTGAACGAGCTCCTTCGACACAGAAGAAGCTCGGACACTGTTGTGCTGGCTGGGGATCTGAACGCTCAACTTGGCAAATTACCCACTGCTGAGCGGCATTTGGGCGGCCAACGTGGTGTAGACTCCCGTAATGATAACGATGAGCGGTTACTTTATTTGTGTGAAGATGCTCGCTAATTTCTTGCGAGCACTAATTTCCGACACAGCACCCGCCGGAGGATGCCTTGGCGCCCAGCAGCCTCGAACCAGCTATGGAAGCAAATCGATCACATTGCGATAAGTTACCGAGGGATAGGCTGCGTCCAGAACTGTCGCTCGATTTGGAGCACATGTGTGGACACCGACCATGCACTTGTATGTGCTGACCTGCGGATGCGTTTTGGCGAACGCCCACGATGACGTTGTGAGAGCATTGACACCAGTCAACTGGCGAAACCAGCTGTTCTAAATTCCTATCAAAGTACGCTGTCATGCGAGCTGAGTAAGCGCTCACTGGATGCAATTGAGGCTCACTGGTCTCATAGCCACCGGACCTTACTAGCAGCAGGAAAATCCTCATGTGGTGTGTCTAATCGCCAACATAGATGTTGGGTCTCTTCGCAGTCTCTGGAACTTACAGATGCTCGCCGGCATATTCTGGCTAGAAGCGAACAAAATGAAACTCGCAAAGAGCTCCGGGCAAAACTCCGTGCTAGCCTGAAGAGAGACCGCAAACCCTGGTGGTCTCGTCGTGCTTCAGAGATGGAAATGGCCGCTGCGCTTGGTAACCATCGTAAGTTATGCCGCCTGATGCGGAAAACGGGTAGCAGGAGACTTGATCTTAGTCAAACTATGCGTGACGAGAGTCGACAGCCTATCCACAACTTGTCAAAACGCCTGGAACGTTGGGCTGAACAATTTAATCGGTCGGAATGGTTAGATTTCTCCCGGCCACTGATCGCCCTGCTCCGTGGGCTGTTCCTTTGGATCCACCCTCTCGCTCAGAAATCGAACATGAGATCAGACTGTTGAAGTTAAATAAAGCCGCGGGACCTGATGACCTTCCTCCAGCCCTCTTCAAATTCGGGGGACCTGCTCTTATCGACAATTTACACGAGTTACTAGTCAAACTGTGGAAGCAGGAAGCTGTCCCAACCGATTGGAGCCGCTCCGTCATAGTCCCAATTTTCAAAGGAGGCTCACGATCGGAATGCGGCAGCCATAGAGGAATCAGTCTGATCTCCATCGCCTCCAAATTGCTTGCCTCTGTCATCCTTCACCGACTGACTGGCACTCGTGAAAGCCAGATTCGTGAAGAGCAAGCTGGATTTCGTCGAGGTCGTAGCTGCATTGACCACATCTTCACCTTGCGTCAGTTGTTGGAGC